GACGGTTGTAACTTGCGTCAGTGAGTGCAACTATGCGAGATTTTTCTACTTTCATGGGGTGCATGCGAATGCCATTCCCACGATGAAAAATAGCAGTCCTCAAAGTCTTGTTTAGGGCAATGACGTCGCTACAAATAGGACTTGCAACGGCCCTGGAACCAGTGAAAGTCCCAAATAGCAAGTCGGGCCTTGTCTTGTAAGTTATCCAGTTAAGACGACCAACCATAGCACGAAAAAGACTATGCGAAGCTGTATCTAAAGCTTTTTCAAGATCGACACCATCAGGAATAGACATTACAGCTAATTTGGCAGCGTATCCTTCCTGCGAAATCTTGAAAGATCGCCTGCCGCTTGCGTCTCTCTCGACAACTAAGTCACGACCAAGAAAAGTAAAGGACTGAAGTAAAGACTTAGGATCTTCTTTCCAGTTGTCTCCTACTAGAAAATATGAAGTAACTTCTTTACACACCTCATGGAATTTGTCGTCACCTCCCCGAAGGGTATCGTCTACGTGAAGACAAACTACGCCAGAAACTTTGTGTTCTGGTGGTAAAGTTTCAATCTCGTAGACTTTCTCCTCTAACTTTTGAGTTTCAACTTCACCTATATAAGCTTCTGACTTAGTGCCTCGGATGACATTGCTGGCGGTGTCAGTAACGAGGATGAAAATGCCTGGGTCACATCGTAACTGCTGAAAACCTACTTCAAAAAGTTTCTTAGTTAAAGTTCGAAACCAACCACGAGAAGCATCAATAAGACCATAGCAAGCGCGAATAAAAATGCAAACTGAGTCTTCCTGAAATCCCATAACTTCACGCACTATATCTTGAAGCTCAGGGGGAAGAAAGTCAACAGGGGGGAACTCGACGTGAGGTCGGAGTTTGGAGTCCTCTATCTCCTCAGCTTGTAAAAACGCGTTTAAGAAGTCTTCGCCGTATAGTAGCCAGCCTTCATTTAAGTACTTTTGAAGTGCTAAGTGTAGTCCTTCTTGGGAGACCATAGTAGTGTCTCTCCGCACGTATCCAGATCTATCGTCGTTCTTAGGAAATCCGCGAGGTACATAGCGCACTTTTACTTTCTTTAAGAGACCATCGGTAAGGGTCTTGATGCCTAGAATTAGTCTAGAAGTAAGTGGCTTGCGAGATGGATCCCTTTTACCTACAACAAAAACATTGAACTTATTTAATGCGCCTAGTTCTTGACGTAGCGCCTCTTTAAGTTGATCCATCAAGTTATGTTCTTCGAAGAAAGATATAGGCAAGTCCTGAACGGTGCCTTTTGCTAATAATTCAGCCGGAAGGTTTAACTTGATCCCTTTTGCTGATTTGTGGGCCGTAATCTTGTCAGGTATAGTAGGCTTAGGACGAGAATAAAAAGAGACTACGACTCCCTTACGCGGAATTGCGTCGCCAACTAGTCGCTTTGTTTGACTGTCAGGCAACAAAAGATATGACTCTTGACTTAGATGCTTCGAGTTACCAGTAAGAATCCTGCCACGTCCTCGATAAACTGTTATCTTTTCGATGTGGTTACCTTTACCGTCCGGATTTCTAACGTTTTCCAGTAGTGAGAATAATGAATCGCCATGCTGTAAGTGGATCATCTCGCTACTATCTGCAGCCAGATGCGTCTGAAGAACATCATAAAAATCACACATCTCAGAAAGAAACACAGGCTCTTGGTCAGGATTAGGCTCCTGCTGGACAAACAAAGCTGAAGCATCGTTTCTAGTGCTAGAATCGTCAGCGCAGTCAGTGCTATAGAATGCTAGTAAAGCTCTAGCGCGAGACCTACAAGAAGCCAGAATGTTATCCTGAAGTTCCTTCTTTCCGTTTTTCAGTGAGATACCCAGGAACTTGGTTAGATAACGAAGCTGATTGACGGTTAGCGCACTTACGTAAGCTTGTTGCTGTACAAAAGGTAAAGCCAAGAACTCAGTTAGTTCTTCGCCAGAGATAACGCTATAATATCTAGCATCCAACGTAGATAAGTCAATATCACTACGATTAGATTGCTCCATACTGTTACCAATGCGATACTCGAAGTTTTCACTTTCTAAGCTGTCGGATGCTGTCTCTAGTGGTATTCTAATAATCATTTTTGCATCCTTTTGAAGTCTAAACGGACTAGCATCATGAACGATAGCAGTAGGCTTTTGAAAAGTACGACTAAAAACTAATACTAGTTGCAGTCCTGAAGTTGCTGCTTGTGGAATAGTCCTAGAATGAGCCTCAACGTCCGCAAATACCTCACCAGATGTTCCGTCCAAGAGGTTGCTCTTTGTCACACTGCGCAGCTCCGGACTTGCGCGCGCAGTTGCCACCAGTTGCTTCGAATGCTTGATGCATAGCCGTTCCAATTTCTTCGCGCGGTTGCTGTGCTTCGCTTTGGGATCAGCCTGAGGTAGATACGGGGCATCAGAAACGTTATCGACCGAATCAGGTGGAGGGGAAGAAGCGGAATTATGATCATCATGTTGCACCGAAGAGCTTGTAGCTGGGACTTCGACGCAGAGCTCATCCGCAGAAGGTAAGAAAACTCGCGCATGTGAAACTTCATGCACGTCGCCGTTGGTGAGCCGGACCACCACTACACGCTCTCCTTCGCCGCGAGTGCCGAGCACTTCCGCGTCGCGCATCCGCTTGACCCCAAGATCCTTCGAATCAGCTACGAGTAGTCTGCATTTGTCACCAGTTCGCCACGCTTCTAATTTTCGTCCGCGGCTTTCGCTGTTATTTTTAAGCTCCGTAAGCTCTGCTTCCACATTGACGGCCAATGCTGCTCGCTTTCGAAGTTCTTCTCTCTGCAGAAGCATCAGGTCCAATGTGGATTCGTCCGTAACTGGTCCGAAGTAGACGTCGCTTTGTAGTGCAATCCGTTGGGCAGATAAAGATCTCCCGAAATACTTCCTGATATAGGAGTTCTTCGCTTTTTGTCCCCAAGCGCAAATGTCGTCCATGGTTAATTTGTCGACATGTTTCGCATCGACATTGACTAACTTCTCCACGATGCGCCGGAATACTCGATTGTGTGACTCTACAAAATTAGCATGCCGATCGGAAGTCGAGCGATAATGTATCATTTTGTTGGTACGGAGGAAGCTTAAGACTTGTCCGTTGACGAATTCCTTTCCGTTATCGCTGAAGATTGCGCCGGGAAGTGAACCAAAAATCGTAGCCCATTTATCTAAAGCTCTGCAGACATCCGCTCCGGTCGGGTGTCCTTCTTGAATGACGATGATCAAAGACCATTTCGAGAACGCATCGACCAAGTGTAAAACTGCGTACTCGTCTCCGTTAAATTTCAGGAAGAGAGTATCCATCGCGACGCACTCATTGACATGACAAAACTTCTTGGATCGAGGTGCTGCTGGCTTTTTACGAAGAGCGCCCTGGCATATGTCGCACATCTCATAGACTGCATCCGCTAAGTGTCGAGGTAGTCCAATGCTGGAATATCGTTCGCACATTTGGTCTGGATGTGGATGATCACGATGATGGAGCTCCTCAATGAGTTGATACGTCCAAGGGAATGGAAAATCGAAATACTCTGACTGTACTGCTTGATAGATGAGGAAAGTACTGCCGTCGGGGGTGTCTTGAATTTGAAACGTAGGCTGACGTCGGTCTTGTTGCTGCTGAGTTTGATGAAACGTAGAAAAAGTGACTTGGTATAAGTTATTTTTATGCTCCATCGGAAATTCGATTTTTGAATTCGAAAACTTTAAACCTGGAAAATCGACCACGTAGTCTTGAAGAAAGTCTTGACCTAATAAAAATGGCGTATTTGCTCCAGGAATGATCCAAAACTTTCTAGTGGTGCCGGGAAGAATTGCTAGTTGTGTTGCTTCCTTGTTTGCGCCTCCCGCGAACTTGAAGAATTTGCGCTCCGTAGTAGGAATATCCACGATCTCCACGCCTGCTACTACATTTAGAATTTCTTCAATTTGATGCTCTCCAACGCAACTGTCTGAACAACCAGAATCCAAAACTAGGTGAAACTTCACATCCTGAACATCGTCTTCTTTGAACGATATGAAGCAGCATCCTGCTGCAAACTCTTCTTTTTTCTTCGTCTCCTCTCCGGTTAGTCAAGGCTGACCATGTCCGCTTCCGTCGTGTTCAGCATGATCTTGATGCTGGTCCACAGTGTCCGCTTCGACGAAGTATGCGCGGCCATCCTTGCGATACTTCTTGATGTAGTACTTGTTCTTGCCGTTGCCTTTGTTCTGCGAAGAAGAAGATGAAGAAGAATTGTTGTAGTTGTTGTAGTAGTTGTTGTTCCACGAAGAAGATGAAGAGGAAGAATTATTTCCACCATAGTACGCATTCTTGCCGATTCCATTTCCGCCCTTGCCGCTACCGGAAGTCTTGCCGTAACCTTTGTTCTTGCCCTTCTTGCCTTTGCCCTTGGTCTTCTTGCCTTTGCCTTTCTTGCCGTTTCCCTTTTTCGTCGGTGCCGAGGTCCAAAGGGTCGTCATCACCGCATCGCCCTGGTCGTCGTACTGCCACTTCTTGTTTCCATGTACATCATGCAAAACGGTGTCGAGCTTGGACGACTTGAAGAGCTGCTCGATCACATTATACATCTTCTCAACTGTCTCGGTGGTACTTGCTTCGCCAATTTTGCGCATGTTGAACGAAGCCTTGAATGCCACTGCTTTAAGTCCCGTGAGCCGTAATCCGGTATACAACGCGTTGCACAGTTCGGCATTAGTCGGAAGGTAACCATTTCCGCGCACGGTGTTGACCAAAACTTTGAAACGTGCAGTAGCGTCCACATCCGATTCACCGCCGGCCTTTTCGAAGCGTTGTAGCTGAGAATATTCGGCAACGTCAGCAAGTACGTCAGCCATTCCGCAATCGACCGTGATGACATGTTCCAAGCGTTCAATTTGCGTTTTGGTTCGGATCAAGTTCTGAAGCTTCATGTCGTCGCAAACGTATTCGGCATCCTTGTCATGGGTCATAAAGTCGGCCCCATGTAACGATACGGCGTCGCAGATGTTGGCGTAATTTGGATGGATGCCATGCAGCAAGATATGCGGCACAATTTTCGTAGTCGCGATATCGTGTTGAAGATGCCAGAGATTCAAATTGCGGGCGTAGGATCTCCATGACTGCGAAGGCTGCCAAATCGGGCAACTACTGTAAGCTTTTGCCGAGCTTCCTGCGAGAGATGGCAAAGCACACATTTTCGCACTGTGTGTTTGTCGGCTGCGAGGTTAATTAAATCAAAGTAACAACCTAACTAGGAGGAGGCCCGTTACTTAAAAAGATAAGACTTAGCTTATACGTGTCAGATAAGAATACTAGCAAGCGCAAGAAATAGTGTGGCGTGAGTGTTAAATTTTGTTGGACCTTCGGGGTGAGATTGCAAATTGGCACCGATTTGCAATCGCAGCCCGAGGATCGGAGAAAAAATATCTCAAGGAGTTAACCAAACACCATAGGGATCCAATCAGTTATGACCTTTCATAACTGTGTGCTAGAAAGTTTGAGAATGCAAGATGCTAAGCTACGTGAGCGAATGTTCCGAGTGGATCTATAACGATTAGTACTATCGTCGTGCTAAGCTAGTTGCCGTGGCGTATGCTCTGGAGGTTAAAACTATGATCTACTAGATCTTTTTACTTATTTACTTACTCAGTATTATCGTGAATTGTTTTTACTTATTTCCGGAATTTATTTCAAGTTTTTCTTACTTGTTGTTTACTCAAAGAACCAAAAACAAAAGAGGGAAAAATTGTCTATATGCATCTACGGGGATACTAAACCTAGTCGACGCTACCATGACAGATTCTTGTATATTGGGCTCTTCCTCCTCCAGTGAATGAACACGCTAAGTACCAAAAGTTTTCTTGGGTTGAGTGGTGTTTATTCAAATG